CCGAGTGTTCATCAAGAGGATTTCCTTAAGATGTGCAATATAGCTCGAGTCTACTCTGCTCTAGGGATGAGGTGGGGCTCGGGTTTCTCGTGCGCCTTAGCTTTTGGCGACTTGCCAGGCGGGGCGAGCCCCAGCCTTGAGGTCCTGGAGCAAGATCCTCTATAGGACCATGTGGAAGCAAGATCGGATGACTGTGGACAAGCATCCGTGCTCACCGATTCTCTCGGTCTCGCTCGGCACGCAATGTTGTACCTACCTTCCAGCCTGTGCTATCTGTCATCGCGTCAAGGCACATAGCAAAAAGGATCAACGAAGGGAAGTAAAAGCGCCGGGTAAAGGTCATCCAGAAAGATTTCTCCCTGATCCCTTGGATGTGAGTTCATGATCTCATCACAATTATCGTCCTCTTGGGTGGGAAACTATCGTCCAAATGGGTTTCTCTCGTGCCAGCTGAATGCTTCCCCGACAGGCATTATGCACTCGATCAGGAGCAACATCCGCTTAGCGATTCACTGCATATTAGGACGCCGAAGGGGTTTCCCAGCCCGATGGTAACCCAACGCGAGTTTACGCCACCCGCCTACCAGCTACCTGACCTTCGGCTCTTTTTTTGTTGTCAAATGTCATGTCTTCCTGCGTAGTCCGGTTGGAAGAATCTGCCAGTTAAAAATCCGCAGAATGTGGGGCATACCTATGCGATACTGCACATGGACGGCTGCGCTGTAGTGCGATTCGGTCAGACCAAGTGGAGGGCTCGGTCGGCCGGTCTCACAGATATGTAGAGCCGACTTTATAGAATCTGTTATGTCGAGACTGCGAAAGCCATGCGAATTCCCATGTGCCCTCTCTCCACTCCCACTACGGTGGAGCAAGAGGAGCATGACAGAGATAGGGGAATATGGATTCAAGACACCCGAGACCTTCGGAATCATCTCCCACCACGATTGACCCCGGCGAGGACCCCGTAATAAGGATGCGATCAGTATTCAATTTTCGAGTTAGTAGGGGTCTTTCACTTCGCTGGTGCTCACACACCATAGTAGGAGACAGACAATCCTCTTTCACGGTCTTGGCGCGAGAACTCTTCCTGATTGGGTCACTTACGATCATCTTAGCACATGTTTATGAGATATGCCTTTATGAACAAGACCTCCAGAATTCGCATATATCGATTCCTGAGCCGATCGCTTAGATCAATCACCAATCCGTATCCACAGTTTTGAGCAGCATGACAGTGTCTTCAGCGGTAAAGTCAGGAGGCTTGGCATCTAAATCCGTGCGATGATGCTTATTGCCTTCGTCCAACTATGGTGACCATCTCGGGGCAGCCTCGATGATGCGCCCAGATATCAATTCGGCACTGGCATAACTGCCGATGTTTCTCCATGTGAGAACGCAGGGAGGCGATGCGGAGTGAAACGCACGATTTCGTTTAGGACCCCATGTTTGGAGTTAGACAACACTTCACCAAAGCAGCTGGAGGTATCACCTCGAGTCTAGACCTTTTGAGCCCCGTTCGAGCGTTCAACCAGAGCGGGCCCGCTCGGAGGGCCCAGCAGAGCCTACAAAAAACATCACGACGAGGAGCTACGATGATGCCGCCCTAGCCCCAGGTGTGACACACTCTATTTTAGTTCCCTTTCCTTTGTCGAATCCATATTCCTGGGAACAGCGGTTTCGGCTCTCTAGCTATCCATGGTTAGACCTTCGTGAGCTCCCTCAATTTTCAAAGCTTACAGGCTACAGTCTATCGACCACAACCGTGTCTGCCAGTACACATGCGACCTCGAGGATCTGGATGGCTTGGGAAAGCATGCTAGTCCACAAAACTTGAAGATTGCCAAGTCCGATTGCTCCAGTACGGAACCTCTGTCATCAATACTTGGGACAGCGGTACACTGTCACGCAATAGGACTGATCTATCAGCCAGATTGGCCAGGTCGTGCCGCGCGCAAGAGCTCTTGAACACGGCGAGTAACTTTCCTAGAGGCAATACCATGGGATACATACCAAATGATGTAGCCTATGTGCTCCACATCTATAATCAGGTCAACTTCTAGTCCCTGCCGGTTCGTACATTGCTTATCAAGGCATTTGCGATCCCGACAATGGCTGAGAAGTTTGACGAAAGAACGCTTCACAGACCCCACAGCTCCTGGCCCTCGAACGTCTGGCTGTCGCTGTCGCGCTGGCTCCAGGCAGGCTCGAGGCAAGTTCCAGGGGTCGGGAGATTAAAGATCATTTTCTGGCCCGGGCGGCCACGTGTTGCTGCCAGCGAACCAGCGCCATCCAGGCAAAACCCCTGCATTTTACGAGGTACATCATAGTGACTTTGCTCAGTCTCTTTACACTTTATCATGCACCTAAATGCGCTCGAGCATCTCTTTCCAAAGCGGTTCGACAGGTCATCAAACCTCCCTTGCTGCGCCATTACCGGCCGTAAAAAGTCCACGTATTTCTGTCGCTGTGCGCTGGAACAGTGCTGAACACAGGTCATCCATGTCAGGAATAACCTAAGCTCGAAACGAGCTGCGGAAGAAGTAGGAGCAGATTCACAATGTAGGGGACTTCGACAGTCTTCAGGGACGTGAAGCTGCAAGGCAAAAATTACGCACTGATTGAGCCGCATACCTGAACTTTTGACGATTATCTGGTCTCAGCATCTTTTGTGTTGCGCCGTGCCCAAGGCTACAGACCAAACGGCTCAGTTTGCAATGACTGTCGATTCGGGCAACCTTCACCATTTTCTACCCAGCGACTCCGGTGCACAGCATTCTGTTCACGCAATTACTTGCGTGAATTGGCTTAATAATGGTAGAAAGTACAATACCGATCAGCCTTCTGGAGAATGCCGTCTCCAGAAAGCCCCTAATCCGCCACCAAGGATTTTCCCTTCATCGACTATCTCGTTGGCCTCAAGCCACCTGGATCCTGTCACGGTCACGCTTGTAGGGTTGTCCTGACATTCGCAGCGGCATCTTCCAGTGTCGGTCCCATGGTTTTGCTTTGGCAATCTCGTTCCTGCAGTAAAGGGAAAACCCAACTTTTGACTACACAAGCCACATTCTGCAGGGGCACCAGTAGCAGGCGATCCCACTTTCGTTGCTTTTCGCAGCGCCACTAGTCATGATGCCAGCCAAGTTTTGCTGGCCTTGACCGTGGCCTACCAATGCCTTAACTGCGTTCTGCAGGTCGTTCACTTTGGCCCGCGAGGCCTACTGTCACAATGGCCCCGGCACCTCGGATTGTCGAATGCCGGGTGAGGATCGACAAACCCCAGCAGCGATCATCTATGTTGTACCGGGGCAAATCTGTGTAGGGCCGCAAAGGCATTGCTGATCACCATCATCCAGTTCCAACATGGGAAAGAGCGCAACTGCATAGTCCTGTAAGAGCGCAATCGGGGACCTAGATATGCAGGAACTGGGGCCGTGACGTTACTCACGTCGGCGACCATTTCGATGATCCAATGACGCTTTCATCCTATCGCCCTGTGCTACCGTGCATCTAGCCGTCCTTCCGACTACGATCAAGCAGAGAACAACGCTGCAAATCACCGCGACAGCTAGACTGCGTAACATAGGCGCGCTCCAAACGCACTGCCTTGCCGACCGCTCTTGTGACCTGTGTTCCACTGCCAGCTACCGGGACCTTGCAGCATGTCGTGAACAGATCATCCACAAGGTGCCTCAAGGATGAGCGAGACGGCACCCTGCCGATGCGGAAGTTTGGTCCGCGGTCGACGTATTGCAAACTTTCGCCACGTCCAAGGAGTCGGGTAGAAGAGACTCAGCTCTTTTCACCTCTCTGGGCGGTGCCTGGCTGGACACCGCTGGCGACTTGCGTACCCATGCCGCTGGAGTCCTGTGCGTTCTGGTGGTGTTCGACTTCTCCGATGCCGAGCGAAGTTGCACGAAACCCCAAAGATAGAAGCGGCATCTCCCCTTCCCGCAGCTACAGACACCCGTGTCAAGCTACCTTGTGCACCCGCAGGTCAGAAGGTCATGATCTGATATGATATGCAGTGGCTGTCAATTCTTGTTGTTTCCATGCGACTGGTGGGGATCCTTCCGGTGATGACGGAGGCGGAGAACCACCCAGCCAGATCTAGGCCTCCAAATATGCATTGGCGCTCAGCTCATCTAGGGCCTCGAAGGCTTGTAGGTACTGTACGCTCGAAATCCAGTCTCCCAATACGGCAGCGATTCCTTCGGATTCGGGATAGCCTTTATGCGCTGCAACCCTTCCCATGAACGAGGCATCGTGTAAATCCTGGATCAGCTGTCCATGACCGAAGCCGGCTGTTTCGCCATTCACGCTTCTCGCTACTTAGGAAGACTCAGCCGATGATTTGTTTCTCGATGTACTTCCCTATTTGTCAAGACCTCAGCAACAGGGTCGGAGCTGTCCCCAGGGCTGACGCAGCGCCGGAGCACTAGATGTGAGTCTTGCTTTAGGACGCGAGGCTAGGTAAGCGATGTAGCACCTCGATGACCCAGCCCCGTTCTGGCGGGATTGACGGCGGCTCCCGTTTCGTCCGCCAAGTGGTAACGAAGCACCGGAATGTCTCAGACAGCGAGTTCTGCTCGGTATGCTAGACAAAAAGTCGTTCCGCGGTGCGAGACGGTGAGGCGAGGAAAAAGCAATCCAACCGGTCCTGATTCATTATGTCAAGTTGAGCTCAGGGGCTAGTCCATTCCCAATCTGGAAAACACAGCCCCTTTGCAGAACACATGAACTGCATGAATGGGACGCGTTCATCATCGTGAACGAAGGTCCTTAGTGAAGACTGTAATCTCGATTTGTTGTTCTGAAGGGGTGTCTCGTTATGAATCAGGCTCATCGAGTGATTGCCTTGGCGCTCCCTGCTTGTCTGCATTACAACATCATCTCGTCGCAAGGGATGGATGAGTCAAGTAATTTGCAGCCGTCTCTGAAGATGCGGCTCCAAGCATGTCTGAGTTTTCATTTTTCCTACTCGTCTAAGAATATCCAAAGAATTACTTCTGCTTTCCCGCTGTCATAAGCCCATTGGTAAACTCCAATGTCACTACGCCGTCTTTGCTCTCCACGATCCTCACCGACTCCAGGTCCTTGACAACCCAGTCCGGCTCAGCACTGAGGACCCGTTCCGCAGTGTGGCTCGTTACCAGTCCCAGGACCTTGCATCCAGCAGCCTTGCCTGCTCTGATGCCCGCCGGGCTGTCTTCCAGGACTAGGACACTGGAGTTGTCGCCCGTGAGACCGAGTCTCTCACGCCCCATGATATAGCAACTCGGGTCTGGCTTTCCATTTTGCACTGACTCCGCCGTGATGAGATGCTCTGGCGTCGGCAGGCTCAGTCTTTTCAACCAGCCGCTCACCAATGGTACCGTTCCGGACGTGACGATCGCCCATGGTATTTGGGCATCAATGACCTTCTGCAGCAAGGCGCGTGCTCCGGGAATCTCCACGGCATCTTCGCCGTGGAGCTTGGGTAAAAGACCCTCCATGTGTTGGACATCTGCGACAAGTTGTCAGAGAATATTCTCGCTTCTGTATGTCTTTCATGGATGATGGATAATCTGTCTGAGGTGTAGTTGCTGAGCGGAGCCGATCCACTTGAATCTGCTGTTGAGCCCCTTGAGATTGTGGAGCTTCAACTCTAACAAGGGAGACTTGAAGAAATGAAGATGACCCTTCATCCCTTTTGAAGGCCCACTACAATGGGTTTTATGAAGAATGCCGTTTCATTATTGAAAACGTGTTGCTCGTCCTCCACGTTGCTCTAGTTGAGGCTCCTTTGCCCACTCCTGAAGTCGACGTATTTGAAACCTCGAGGGATGCCGTTCCAGGGGTGCGTCATTCATGTCTCCCGAAGTAGCTCTCCCTTTGGACGCTCGTCTCATCTCAGAAGAAGGGGTCATGGGGCAACGTCTCCGTTCATCATCAGACTTACACTCCCAATTTGCCTTTTCAGGGGCTAATATCTTTAGGATGTCTATACTGCGTCGGCCGTGGGATGTTTGCAGGATCACCTCAGGCTCGACGCCTATCTCATTCCCGACTCTAGTCATACCGTCAGCTTGGATCACTCCAGGGGTAAATCGGGCTTGCGCGCGGCGGATGAGGCCTTCCTGCCCCGCCGGTCGGTCAGACTTACGTGTGCCAGTGCTTGACGACGGCTTCTGTGGAATCAATTATGGTCCCATCCATGTCAAAGAGGAAGCCGTGGAAGGAGGCCTGGACCGGGGCTCCCGTATACTCATATTCCACGGAGGGTTCTGACATGGCTTGTGAGCCCATAGCTCTGTATTCTCGTCTGTTCCAATGTGACAAATTATAGCACAAGGGTTTCTCGATCCTTGTTTCCGCGGTGTGAGATTGCGGTTCGATGCGATGATGTGAAGAAAGGGATATCGCCGACTGCTTTCCGATTGAAGAGCAATAGAAAATAATTGATGCTGTTGAGAAAGAAGTCTATGCAACGACGCCGTAGTATTTAGCAAAGATTTAAGATATTCTAAGTTATGAAAGAGTTTCACGAAGCATCGAAAGTCATGGACCGTGAAGATTTAAGAGAGGCCCTCATGAACGAAATAGGAAACTCCGCCCATACCGCCGGCGCCAGAAGGCGAATTCGCTAGTGACGAGAACGAGGACTCCGCCCTGGCAAACTGAACTGCTGGCGCCTCTATCGCCCTCATGCCGCTGTAAGCCTTCTGTAATTCTAGCGAAAATGCCCGCTGTTGGCGGTCTCTTCAGGCCTTTTTGGAGCGACTCCACTCATTGGCGGGGCCCAGTCCTGCGGGGCATTTTTTGGCGGGCAGAAAAATTAAGGCGGTGAAAATTTCTGGAAAGGCACATTCGCTCCCACCGCCATCGACTCTGCGCTTCAAGTTCTCCACGCAAGAAGAGTAATTGAGAGGCATTCCGACAAGATGGCCGGCTCAATCAATAAACCGAAGAGTAAGTAATATCTCTCACAGTTCCGGGGCTTAAGTTATGGAGATACTGACAATTAAACCCCAGAGCCCAAGTCCAAGAGGACGCCCGTCCGCCTCCGCCACAAGATCGAGAAAGCTTCGGCGGCGAAACAACGAAAGCAGCGCAAGCTTGCCAAGAAGAACCCTGAGTGGCGCACCAAATTAAAGAAGGACCCCGGCATTCCCAACCTCTTCCCATACAAGGAGAAGTTGCTACACGAGATTGAGGAGAACCGCCTGCGCAAGAAGGAAGAGGCTCAAAAGCGAAAGGAGGCCGTGAAGGCCGCAAAGACTGGAGGGGATCAGACTGAGGCTGCAGATGGCGAGGATGCCATGGATGGTCTTGACGATGAGTTCGAGGACGACGAGGATATGGTTGATGACGAGGGCATTGACGAGTCAGACCCAATGGCTGCTCTGATTGCCAGCGCGAGGGCTGCCGCAGAGCAGTACGACCGAGAGCTACAGAGCGGGGACGACATGGATGAAGACGATTCTGACGGCGACTCAGACGATGATGACTCTGGTGCTATGGAGGTTCCTGGCAACGCGACGTCGCGGAAGGCATATGACAAGGTCTTCAAGCAAGTTGTCGAGCAAGCCGACGTAATCCTCTACGTCCTGGATGCTCGAGACCCTGAGGGCACACGATCGCGAGACGTTGAACGCTCTGTCATGGCGGCAGCCAGCGGCGGCAAGCGATTGATTCTGGTTCTCAACAAGATCGATCTGATTCCGCCTCCGGTTCTAAAGGGCTGGCTCACTCACCTCCGACGCTACTTCCCGACCCTTCCTCTCCGTGCCTCCGGCGCCGCACCCAATGCTCACACATTCAACCATCGTGACCTGACCGTGCAGAGCACCAGTTCAACGCTATTCCGGGCGCTCAAGACCTTTGCAGCTACTCGGAATCTCAAGCGTGCCATCTCTGTAGGTGTCATTGGCTACCCCAACGTCGGCAAGTCATCCGTCATCAACGCCCTGCTGTCACGACTCAGCGGTGCCCGAGGCCAGAAGACTGCATGTCCCGCCGGTGCTGAGGCGGGCGTCACTACTTCTATTCGTGCCGTTAAGATCGATAGTAAGCTGACGCTGCTTGACTCTCCGGGTATCGTGTTCCCCTCGACGTCCGACGTCGCCGACTCGAACGGGTCCGGCGCCACGTTCGTCCCAAAGAACGCGACCGAGGCGCACGCCCACCTGGTTCTCCTCAACGCTGTGCCGCCCAAGAACATCGATGATCCGATCCCGGCCGTCACGCTGCTGCTTAAGCGTTTGGGCACCACGCCCGAGCTGATGAAACGCCTGACTGACGTATATGATTTGCCGGCGCTGCTAGTGAACCCGGAGAATGGCGACGCAACGACGGACTTCTTGGTCCAGGTGGCCAGGAAACGAGGACGTCTCGGCCGTGGGGGCGTGCCGAACATCAACGCCGCCGCGATGACGGTCGTTACCGATTGGCGAGACGGACGGATCCAGGGCTGGGTGGACGCGCCTGTGCTATCTGTTGCTAACGAATCAGTCGCTGCTGTGAAGACCGGAGAGGCGAATGCTGCTCCGTCTGCCGCCCCTGACCAGAAGCATATCGTGACGGAGTGGGCCAAGGAGTTCAAGATCGAGGGCCTGTGGGGGGATGAAAAGGAGGAGAGCAATGAGGCGGAGATGCAACAATAAAGCCTATTGCAGGAAAAAGCATTGTCATGCATGCTTCATCAGCTTAAGTGCGGCGTTTTGGAGTTTTGAAAGGAAAATGCATGTATGGATTATACCTACTCTTTACGCCAGTAGATTTACTAGATCAGTCACTCAAAACGCTCTTCTGCGTCCTGGAGAATATATCGTTTTGCACACACCCAAAGTAATTTCACCGTTATCTGGCCGCACACCCTTATGCGTGTAGCATAAGGATTTTTTCTCTATCTAGTGCAATCATCACATCTTCGTACAATCCGAGTACAGCTCCCTTACAATGAGTGACCATTTCAAGGATTCACCAGCTCCATCTTGACGCCTCTCTTCCCCGTGGACTCATCCTTTTGATCGCTGATCCTAACCCGCACCTTCTGGAAAAGTTCTACAGATAGCTCTCTACTACCGCTCGTCGTCAGCGTGTACATCTCCGGGTCAAACGCGGCCTGGGGCTCCGGCTCCGCAAGATCACGCAGTCGAATAAGGCTCTCGATGCCGAAGCGCGGCACAAGCACGACGAAGCCGTTGCTGAAGATCTTCATGATGAAACCGTCCTCCTCGGTGACCTTGCCACGAACGGCCTGGCCGACGTAGTAGGCGATACTGGCGCGGCCGGCCAGCTGCGCATTGCGGTGGCGTACGTTGATATTTCGGCACACGGCCTCAAGCTTGCCGCGGCTCCTCTGCGACGGAGCGATGGCCTCGTACCCGATGGCGGCGGCGAGCTGTCTGTGCGCGACGAGGTCAGCGTATCGCCGAATGGGACTGGTGAAATGCGTGTAAATCTCCGAGGCGAGACCGTAGTGACGGAACTCTGGATATGCCTGTGTCCCGGAGCAGAAGTACTCGGCGGCCATCATGCAGCGCGTGGCCATTATGCGCACAAGCGTATTGAAGAACGGCTCCTTGGGGTCGACGCAAGTGTCGAGACTATCGGCAAGTGTCTTGGAGGAGTCGACACGCAGCTCGAGACCCTTCTTTACCTTGAGCTGGTTAGCTAACTCGTCGAAATTGGTCTTTGGTGGTGCTCCATGACGACGTAAGAGAGCCGTCTGCGGGAAAGCATCATAGATCTTGCCCGCCACGCTGATGTTAGCTAGAAGCATGAATTCCTCGACTAGTGAGTTGGTGTCGAGGAGCTGTTTGGTCTTGACATCAATGGGATCTGATGTCTCCGACTCCATCTGAACCTTCACTTCAGGAGACGATAAACTCAGGGCACCGGCGTCCATCCTCTTCTGCTTGAGTTTCTTTGAAAGCATGAGCAGCGTGCGCATACCGTTCGTGAGATCGTCTTTTTGTGATGCGTCATCAATCCTCAGCTGTGCCTCCTCATAACTGAAGGCCTCTCGAGACTTAATAACAGATTTTGTAAACCGGACATTGACAATGTCAGCATCTCTGTTGACTTCCCAGAGCACGGAGAACGCAAACCGTTCCACATATGGCTTCAGTGAGCAGAGGTCAGTGCCTAGCAGCATAGGAAGCATGTCAATACGCTTATCGACGAGGTAGACAGTGGTGCCTCGAATGCTGGCTTCCGTATCCATAGCATTGTTGGGCTTCACGAAATTTGACACGTCAGCGATGTGTACACCGACCTCGAAATTGCCATTTGGCAAGGGCCGCGCGTGGAGAGCATCGTCAATATCCTGGCAGCCAACAGGATCAATACTGCAGATGAGAAGTCCACGAAGATCTTCTCTGTCTCTCCAGCCAGGATCATCAGTGCTCTCCGGAACACGCCAATCATGCCCCTCCTTTGGCAAGCAGTCCAGGACGGTCTTAGGAAATGGCCGATACTGAACATCGTATTCGAGTAGCAGCGCCTCCGTTTCAGCAGCTTTGCTCTCCATCTCACCAAGGGATCTGACAAAGTGTCCCACAGGATGCCTCGAATCGCGATCCCAGGCATCGATCGTTACAAGCAGCCTCTTTCCTAGGAGTTCAGCCACCTGCCTCGTGCGAAGCCGGATTTTTGGTATCTTCTTATCCATCGGGATTAAGAACACCGTATCCTGCTTTCGACCTTGCTTGGACGTCTGGCTCGTTGTTGACTGATCTATGTGACCAACATACTGGCGCCAATTCCTCTTTATAACGCCAACAACCCTTGCTGTGGGCTGTGCATGGCCTTCAGTGCCCTTGCTCTGGGTTCTCTTCACCTCCTCTTGTAGAGCTTTCCTCTCCTTTTCGGATATGACTTCCTCTCCCTCGTCTTCGTCAGCATTCTCATTCTTCGTTACCGCCTCCTCCTCGATAATCTGTGTTGAAGGCTCTTTCCATTGGTCCTTGGGCAAAACCTCAACAACAACCACGTCGCCGTCTACAGCGCGGTTGATATTTTCTCTTCCGAGAACAAGCAGGGCTTTGGGGAACGCAGGAACGCGTATTGAGCCCTCGAGGTAATTATAGGGCGAAACGTTGAAGATACCCTGATGAAGCAGCCCGCTCTTGACTCCGGTCATCATCTTAGACAAGGTGAAGTAGTCTGGGTAGAGATGCTCGCCTGGCTTTCTCTCTCGCGAGATTTCGCGGTCCTGCACCTCAGGGATCATGTCCATGAGCCTGTCCGCATCCTCCAAACTGCTCACATACTGGGCTAGTGACTGTGCTGAGATACCCTCCTCTTTGGCCTTCCTGAGATTCTCCCGGTCGTTGCTGAGCATCACGACTGCAGGAAGCTTCTTGGCCTTCGTTCGCGCCAGGTGTTCTCCGTACCACTTGGTCGCACTCCTGACAGCGCGGTCGTTGCGGTCATTGACAGTCTCGCCAGGTTCCCGCTTAACATACGTCTCTAGGCGGAACTCGTTGAAGAAGACGTAGAAGCGCTTGTCGTCGCTCTTGGTCAGGCCGATCAGGCGGTTATAGAGAGGAAGCGAGCGGTTGCGCACTTCCTCCAGCACCACCTGTAGCACGATGACGTCGTAGAACGCGGAGCTCTGCTCGAAGAGATCCATGGCGTTCAGGAACGCATTGGTGTCAGGGACCAGATAGTGGCCTTGCGGGAACGATTTGGTCCCAGCCGGCTTCTCCGAGAGAACGAAGGGTGATACTGGGGTGTTGTTAGCATCGCATGATGAAACGTATCAAGGAGTAGACTCACAATTTCCGGAAGCATCCCTCGGGGCCGTTTTCAAGCAACTGGCGCAAAGTTTGGATGAGCAGGGAATGTCTTGCCGCAGGTACACCTCACGGACGATTTTCTGGACCTTGCCGCTCTTGGTGGATCTGACGTAGACCTTGCTCGATATGTTCGAAGCAAAGGGATCGGACTCCGCCGACCTCTTGATACTCGCCATGTTGGTTTTGCTGCGGAGTTTTGGTGACGGCGTTGATTTTCATCAATGAGCTCAACGATGGAAATGTTCAAAATGTGACTAGGGTCGGGTTTCTGACAAATCACAGACCATTGAGCGCTTGCTTATCGTTATCAGCCGCGGCTGCCAGAAACTCCCAGAAATACCTAAGGTGGCTGCTATCTTTGAACCTGTACTCATTCATCCAAATGGCTCACTACATCACGGATAATTTCTATTTATTCTGAGCCTAATGGAGAGCCTTGATAAGTGCGCGTCTTTCCTTGCATACAGATGCAAGTCCACAGCAGGCTCCACCAGACGGCTTTTTACTGTCATCACGTGCACAGTTAGCCGCTAGAAGCGCGCCCGTTTCCTAGAATCCACCCATCTATCAAGGCGAGCAGCGTTGGAAGAGTATGCTTTTTCTTTTAGCCTTGACGGCCCAGCGGCCCATCACACAGATAGGCGACTCTGACAATACTGCAGTTGATCGACGTATCTCTGGATGAGCTCCTGGCCAGACGAAACTGGCCGCGGGGGAGGCATTGATACATCACGTTGCCCAGGCAGATGTCGATGACAACAACGTCAACTCAATCTGGCGACTGAGGGGAAAAGGCTCCCCCACCCGCATAGTCCGTAAGCGGCTTTGTGTCCCCAAAGGGAAGGCCACCGACCCTGCCCTATACACGGTAATTGCAAACTTATTAATCCAGCTCGGGCCATATGATCTACGGACGCATTCAACCGGAGCATTTTACCATATTGACCTGTACTGCAAAGGCTTCCCTCCTTCATGTACGCCCGCTGGGGTGGTGTCTTGTCATGTGTCGGGTCAGTGCCTGGGGTGTGGTCGGGGCCTTTTCGAGCAGCCCAGTTTCCGTGGTATGGTGAAAAGCCAACGCCAAAGCAGACGGTCGCCGCCATGAGCGCCCAAAAATAGCACCACCACCACCTTCGGCATCTTATCTTATCTACCCGTGCGGTCCACCAGGGAGGCTACAGTACAGTACAAACCCACGATTCACAATCCACTGTACACCATCCACAGGAGCCAGATTTGAGGAACCTCGAAACCTAAATTCCACGAAGCCAACAGGGATATAGAAGATCATAAGTCTAGACACAGAAACCGGCGCAAATGCTCCTGGTTGCGACCGAAGAGAATAGTAGATGCATAGCATCGTCCTCGCCGTTATCTACGTAAGATGGCGGCGCCTCATAATCGTAGCGATAACCGCTATTGCTCCTTCGCTTCTAAGGCCGACGCCTTTCCCGCGAGCATAGGAAAGCGCTTGCTGATCAGATGCGTCATACCTTCAGTCGCAGAGTGAGGGATCCATTTGGCTGCAGGACAGGCGACCCTTGAAACTAATGTTGAGATGATCAATTAGTGTTTGTTACAGCCAGGCTAAAACCTGTATTGCTCTGATATGTTTCATCAACGAACTCGTGCCCTGCTCCCTTGCAATGTTACGGCCAAGACACTGACAATGTTGGAACACTTGACACGACAGTTTTTCAGACTGTGCTTCACCACTACAGAGCTAGTACTAGATGCCGAGATAGCCCGGGTACAGAACCGCCATATCAAAGTAACTTGTCTGACGCAGGAAAGCAGCAAACCCTAGGCGGACCGCTGCTGACAGCCACTCGGCACTTGATTTGGTGGGTGTGCAATAGGCGTGTGTGCGGTAATGTTGCGCAGCGTCCGGCCCTGCTAGGCTGGGATTATGGGTGTTTGATGGAGGATCAGTTGGGGTGGAGGGAGTCTTTGGTATCAGCCTGGGGGCACTTACGTCGGAGAGCAGGCCTGGGCCACGCGCGCAAGGTAAGCCTCCAGGATGTGGGCAGCAAAAGTGAGTGAGTGGGTGCTGTGTATGGGGACCGATTGGAGATGCAGAGCGGGAAACAGGGATACTCCCGCTCCAAGTTGCTGCAGCATGGCATGTAATAGAAGCAGGTCTTCTAGGCTTTGTTGAGAGGATGTGCAACCCCCAGATCTAAAGAAGGTTTGTGTATGGTAACGGCCGCGAATCGGCCGGTTCATGGCAGATGGGTTGGTGGCCTCCCTGGATCTCTGGCGCCTGTAACATGGACGAGGGTCGTACGCAGCAAGGCTCTCTGCTTTGGAGGGAGGAGGGTGTGTAGACTCCACCACGGCAGCTACTTTGTCGGCGCGTTTTCTTCGCGAACTGGCCCGGCTCGTTCGGAACGGCCAGCAAACCAGCCATGGCTCTGACGACTGATGAATGCCAGAGGGTGGCTGTGTCCAGCGCTAGTCGTTTCTTGCTTGCCGATAAGAAAGGTGATGACGACTTTGTTACTCGCTTTCTGACGAAGCCTTGGGAAGTAAACTCAGCCAAGTAGTGGTAGTGGTAGTTGGAGCCCGGGCTGGCGCTTCTTGGTGGACTTGAAAGATAGAATGCTCTCCATGATTTGCATGAGGATGGTCTGTGTGTCAGCTGCCCTCGCTGCAGTTAGCTCCACCGAGCGAATCACGAGGCGCTTTTCCGTGTGGCCAAGACCCAGTCGGCAGCAGCTAGTCGCTTGGACCATCCTTGTCCTCCCCTCCATCACGAAATGATGGGTCCCCCGGCTCGTTGCAGTTGACCCTTCCTACCTTGGGACTCAAGCTCTTCCTCCACACCATCTTCTGGCTGTTCCGTTCACAAAGGCTGCTTCACTCTCCGGGGTTCTGGACCTGCAACATGTTGATTGCGCCTGCTACACCTATTAATTCACCGCATATCAAACGCGCCGGTCACCTGGCGTTTGTCAATAAGCTCGAAACACTTCAACTCGTCTCGTGTTGCCCCCAGTGGCGTCCATGTTTCTACAACACGTAGAATAGACGTCACAAATCAGGGAAACACTGGGGCGGTTGCCAGGAGGGGTATAATATCTAGTAGCAAAGGACCAAGAGCCCTCCAAAGCGGACCAGCTGCAGGCCCACCAACAAAGACGCACCATGGCCGACAGGCCAACCGCTTTGCAACTGGAAACTTCAGACTTCGGCTTACACCACTTGAAGAGTCATCACCGGTCCGTCTTGCTTCCCACTTCATGAACTCCTACCAACATTTGCCGTCGCCGGACCTCCTAGGCAGCGACTCATTTTGAAACATCTCCGCAGTGAACTCCCCAAGTGGCCCCCACCAGGAAGGCTCTCTATCCTTGTTTAGAGATAGGCCGTTGGTCACTCTGATTTGTCAGGTTTCGAGATTGAAGGCCGTCAAGGCGCCATCCAGTCACAACCAGCGTTGCCTTAAGGCCTGTTGCCCTCTCTAGCATGACTTTCGCCCGAGTCCGGCTCTTGGTCTTGCTCATTCGTATTGTCATGGACTCAAGACGCAGCCATTGACCGGGTTTCAGCTGTGGCGCACTTTTCATATATGCCAATGCCAGGATCACAGTCAGCAGACCAATCACAGGTCAGATATACTGCAATTATAGCCCGTTGATCCGGCCAGGTTTGAGCCCCTCAGTTCGTGATGCCATTGACGCAATGTCAGCTGAATTGGACTCGGGTACAGCGATTCATCCGACGGCCTGCCAAAACTGCCAGATTCCCAGTTCATGAAATGGACGTATAGACAGTGACGGAGCTGCCTCAACCTCGTACATCGATGAAGGTTGGATTTGACTTTACTACAGCGGGGTCTGTAGCCACGGGGATCGTCGCACTCCTCTCCACACAACCAGAACAGTTTTGGAGTGTCGGCAATCGCATTGCGCATATGTGACTTCCCATGGCTAGATCCGCGACACCATGGTCGACGCTTTGCGAGGTAGTAACTGAAACCATTTGGCTCGTGATTAGAGGCAAGGGAGAGCTAGCACTAAGAACCTCCCAAGAAGGGAATAGCCAACTAGTCTGCTGCAGGTGGACGAATGACATTACCTCCAGCTTGGCTGCATACACAACTTCGATGTGGAACAAGCCCAACTTTGTCCTACCTTACTTACCATTTTGCTGATTCCCTTAAACCCATGAATCTCCAGCGCCCGCCTGCTTGTACAGTATAGTGCTTCTGGTCATACCAATGCCCTGGCCGGAGACGGTATGAAACTCATAAAGAACAAGTATTTTAGCCTGGCTAGCGGATATGTCAGACAGTCAGAATTGCTGCGAAGAATTCTCTCAAGTTGGAAAAGCCCAGGATTCGTAACTCCTCTTTGAATGCTGCGCTGACGCTGACACTGGCGCTGGTCCGGCGGGAGGCTGATGATCCAGGGGTTAGAATGGAGGTTCATTACCCGAAATCGCCGCTCTGTCAGTGTGCGGGAAACATGGGTGCTTCTTGACGAGGTCTCCGCCTTCCGCGACATGCAGAGACAAATGCAGTGTAGCAGGAGAATGTCAATGTTGTGGAAGGCGCGGATAATATTTGGGGTTGAGCTGCAATCTGGCCTCGCCTTCAACCTACAGACGAGGTGGTGAATCCGACCCAGGCTCTTATGGGGGATTCTTTGACGTGCATCCTGAGGGCTGCTCGGTTTGTCTTGTCAACAGTAGACTACACTTGGAAGCGCTAGCGAGCTTCTACTGTCTTGCGTTGGTGTTATCGCCTGCATGTTTCTCCATCTTGATACTACCGCCGTATGATTCCCGCCCTCGAGAATGCTGTCGTGCGTAACTTTTTTCTACGTGAGCTTTGATAACTTGTCATCCCGCTGAGGAAGGAGACGGTGTCCCAAGCAAGCAAGGTTTCCGCATGAACCAGCCTGATCAGCGGCATGCTAAGTGCGCATTTCCGTCACCGGCGTCCGGCGTCGAGAGCCATGATATGACGAAGAAATACGTCTTGTGGAACGACTGTGCCGCGCTCGCGACCAGGACGGCCGGGAAGTGATCGGTGCGGCGAATGGTGATCGTAGCGGACCATTGTGGACCTGTCAAGCGATGTTGGTGATTTGAATAAGACGATTGGTGGGAGAAGCCCCTGCGCATGCTGTCTTAGTGTCAAGACAAGCGAGCGGTGTCTGTGCGAGAGAGA